AGGCAGAGAGTTACCTCAGGAGCTGCAGCTTCTGCCTCCCTGCATGGTTTCTCCACCTCAACACAGTATTTAGTCACTTTTCCTGCTCTAATTGGAGTCCTTGGGTCTCTCTGTCCTTTATGTCTCTGTCCTCTCTTGTCCCCTGTGGCATGACCACTCTGCACCTCGCTGTGCTCACATCTCCCCAGCCCCATGGACCTCGTGTCAGCTTCTGCTGTGCAACACAACATAAACCCCAGTAGCTCATTTTGGGGGCTGAAAGTCCTCAAGGCTGGGAAAAAAAATCCCACTTTTGTCGACTTTATTCCACCAAAACCAGCTGAGCAGAATCCCAGCTCCGGCCTCGGGGGGATCAGAGAACCTGAGTGGTGTTGTGGTCACTGTGGGGTGGTGGTGCTGGTTGTCTCCTTCTCCTTCACACTGCTGTATTGCATGAAAAATCTGAATAAAGACCTGATGAGTGCACCGAGTGCTGCAACCTTCATCCTCACAGCTCCTCCCGAGGGGCTCAGGGAGGGTATCCAGGGTCAGGTCACATGTTCCTCCCGATCCCAGCCCCTCCCTGCAGACATGGCATGCTGGAAATCCTACCCAAATCCCACCACGACGTGTCTACAAGCTCACAGCCTGCTCCAGCCTGGTGCCAGAGGATGTCCCCAGGGTCAGTCACAGCCGGAGCGATGCTCCCCACAACGTCCTCCTCGTGCGCGACGCTCACACGCCGCGGTGACGAACATATGGCAGCACAGATGGTTTGTCTGCAACCAGGGCCAAAGCCTGGACTGCAAACACACACAGCAGCAGCAGGAAACATCTCCAGTTCCCCCAGGGCAGGCAGGATGAGGCCAGGCCATGGCTCCCTCTGGGATTTGCTCCTGCAAAAGAGGAAATGACACTTCTCCCCCCAACAACCAGCATGGATTTTCTTAAGGGGAGTTGGAAAATGCAGGTGGAAGTGGAAAATCCAGCAGGTTTCCTGCCCTCAGCTCCCAGGGGTGGAAAATCCAGTTTGGCAGGGGCTGGGTTGAGGCGGGGGGAAGTACTTTTCCCCCAGTACATGGGAATAACAGAGAGTTTGGAGGCATAAAATGGGGGTAAGAGAGGAAAATGTGTTGGAGGCAGCTGCTCCCTGACTGCTGCTTCCCTTTGTCCTGCTCCAGGCTGAGCCACAGCCTCCAGTGGGAATTCCCGAGGAGTGCAGGGGCTGGAAGCTGTCCCAGATCCCAGAACACTCCGTGGCTCCTTTGTTACCACAACCTCTCTGCCCCAGGCTTCCCTCGAAGCTTTTTGGGAAAACAGATTTCCCCAAAAGGGATGACCCAAAAAGGAGCGAGGGGCACAAAAAAAGGAGGAGAAAACATGGGTGTAAATAACTGTAAAGACTAAAACTCGTGAGGGAAAGGGCTGGAGAAGGTAAGGAGGGGCCCAGCACATTCCTGGGCTGGAGGCAGGAGCAGGGACACGTCCGGATCTGCCGTTAGACGTTGCCCAACGAGGCTGAGTCAGGCTTAGGGCGGAGGCTGCGGCTGGAGGATCCCAACGCCTCTCTCCAGCTCCAGCTCCAGCTCCAGCAGCACAGCCAGAGCCATGGTGAGTGCACTCAGACTCCTGGAAGGGCAGGGAGAGGTGGCTCCGTAGGGTAGGAGGGTGATGGCACAGGAGCTGCTCCCACAAGAGGCTCCGGAGACGGAGAGACACGCTGGGCACGGGACGGAGTGGGCAATGCCAAGGGCTGAGCACACTCATTGCTCCAAGCTCTGCTCTGGCTGCTCCCAGGGCTGGGAGGGTGTCCTGGGTGGGATTGTGTGATTCCAGGGCAGATCACACCTCTCCGGGAGAGGAGATTTGGGCATGGGAAGGTGCCCAGGACTGAGCTAAAGGCTGTGCCGGGCGAGAGGAGGCAGAGTTGGAGTGTCCCATCCGTGTGCAGGTGTTGCCACTTGTGTTGTTCCCTCCTTTCTCCCCACTGATACTTCCCTGGCCATAGCCAGGCTCGGGGCTGCAGCTCTGTCCCCTCTCCTGTGCCCCCACAGCCCAGAGCTGAAGGAGGAACAAGTTGGCACCTCTCAAACTAACCAGAACAGGCTGAGCTGAGGCTCAGGCAGGGCAGGAAGTGGCAGGGAGGCCCCAGGAGGTTGAGGTTGGGCAGGGAAGGGTGGGATTCCCCCAGTTCGCCCTGCACTGCTTTTCCCAGAGCCTGGAATATGGGAAGGGGAAGAGCTTTACATCTACCTGGAGCCGTGGGGAGGGGAAGAGCTTCACTTACCCCTGGAAATATGGGAAGGGGAAGAGCTTTACATCTACCTGGAGCCGTGGGGAGGGGAAGAGCTTCACTTACCCCTGGAAATATGGGAAGGGGAAGAGCTTTACATCCACCTGGAGCCGTGGGGAGGGGAAGAGCTTTATATCCACCTGGAGCCGTGGGGAGGGGGAAGAGCTTCACTTACCCCTGGAGTCGGAAGGAGGGGGGAAGAGCTTTACATCC